AATAATGAGAGCTATTGTCACATCTTTTCATTCTTTGTAGAGTGATAAGTTGAGTTATCTGAATAATGAGAGCTATTGTCACATCTTTTCATTCTTTGTAGAGTGGTAAGTTGAACTATTTTTTTTTAATAATGAGAGTTGTTGTCACATTTTACATTGTTTGTAAAATGAATTATTTTACTACCATAAGGAATGACAATTTGATCATCAGGTAAACTGACTCGTGTGGTAGTAAATTGTTTATTCACTCAATCAAAAGCAGATTTTGTGTGTGTGTGTTTTCCTATGATTTAACGATTCAACTATTTCTTTTTTTTTAAAAATAACTATCATTCTGATTTTTTGTCAAGAAAACTTATTTGTTTTAATTTTTCTAATACATGTTTATGTGTTAAGTATGACTGTGCTATGCATGAAGAAGCTAAGAATATATGTTTACTGACAAATTATTTATTGCACCTGTACCCTCGTGGTCTCTAAATACAGTATCTACCTCTGCATGCCACTGCTTTTGATATTGAATCACCTTTTAATTCTGCCTGATGTAATACATGATTCTGAATGTATCTTTCCAACGTGTTTAGATTTCCATTAATTCTGCTGTTAGTATATTGTGTCTACCTTTATTTAGTTAAGAGACTTTTAAAACAGTATCAACTAAACTATCTATGCCTCTTTTTGTGTGAATAAGTAATTGTGCAAAAGTTTAATTTTATAAGGTTAACAAACAATTTCTGTCACTTTTGCACATTATCCTATAGTTAATTTCCAGAAATTTGTATCTGTTTTGATGATTTACCATTCATTAATTTTTCCCTAATCAATCATCAAAAGCTTTTCTCTAATCTTTTAAATGTTATATCTTTGAATGTAAAGCCTGTATCTGTAAATCATAACCAAGATTCTTCACAATCCTAATAAATACCCACTTATCTGCATGTCCTGTCCTCATTCTGTTCTCTTGGTGACCGAGGGTGAGTGTGCATTGTTATTTTACAGAGCTACATCCAGAGTCTCCAGACTAAAGTCTGCCCTCCAGATGATAGTCTAACAACAATCCACTCAGACCTGACACGCCTAACTGCCCCTTCAGCTAGTACCACAACCACATTGAGTCAAGTTGCTTGATATACACATCTGGAAAATTGAGAAATCAAGTATAAATCAACTTTTGGTTTTCATGTGTAATGAAACTGCTTGGTTCCATTGAAAACTAGAATAACTGAGAGTTCCAGTTGAACACTTCTAGAAACATCACTTTATATCCAAGGCCTATAGCTAAATGATACAGTGGAGAGAATAGATTTTCAAATTCATGTAGGCTTATCATCTGTATGCAAGCCTTAAACTTTTATGGCAATAGCCATTCAGTGAATAATGTGAAATGGAACCTGAATTTGAAGAACAGATATTGTGGGCTACTTTGATTAGTGACAAGAAACAGGTAGCTAGTCATTAATCAGTAAGAAATATAAGTATTGAGTAACATTTTTTGTTATGTTAATGTCTTGTATAACTATACAAACCTAAACTATTTTTGTTATTAATTCTTATCTAATATGTCTTTTACTTGGTAGCTTCAACATATTTGATGTATATCTTAATTATCATAAGAAGACATTCCTTTGCTCAGCAGACATTGACCAAGACACTTTCAGGTTAATTGTTTTTAATGTCTTGTTTCTGTATTTTTTTGTTTTATTTTTTTGTAGGATAATATTTTGTAATCAATACTTTGCAAGTCTATAGGAAGTTGAATATTTTCTCAACCATAAGATTTTATCTATATCATATTTCGAAATTGTTGTTTAGCTTAGACTAACCTTGAGTGAGCAGTAAAAGTGTGGATATTTAGTGGGTTAAATCACTTGTATATTCTAGGACATATGTGCAGAATGAAATGTAAATATGTCAAAGAGAGGTATATTATAGGTAATTTTCCTGTGCAAATATTTGAATTGTCCTTGATTATATACATTGTTGCTCATTCTGATGCTTTAGAATTAAGAAGAGTTAAGTTGAAAACCAAATATTTTATTGTGTACCACTGTTAACAAGAGCTTCCCTAACAATATTTTGTATTCTATACAGAGTCTACTGAAACTATGATGTTTTGACTGTATGCAAGATCATAAGTTGATGCATAAACAGCAAACTACTCAGTGAAACATTGGTTTCTTCCATTTTTTGTTGTTGCTGTTTTGTGTAGCATTTGAAAACATGTACTGTAATTACAACAGTGTGTTAATATTCACCATGTAATTGAGTTTTTATTTGAGTACTCTCTCAGTGATTGTATCATGTTAGTATTTACCACTAGCTTTATTCATTTCTGGGATTAAAGGACAGCAATTAAATTCCTTGTTGATTTGTTGTTGTTTTTTTGTTTGTTTTTTAGTGAAAGGTTAAAATACATCTTGTGTGTCTTTGTTGAATCTATTTGCTTTTCTTTTCTCTGATTATACTGTAGCTCCAAAACTTTTTGCTGGATTTTGTGTGGTGAAAAATTGTTCATTGTTGTTAATGATACTTAATTTCTCATTAAATAATATTGGATCTTTTTGATATCTTTACTGTGCTATAACATTTTCTATAACAAATAAGATTTATAAACTGTTTCTGAAGGCTTCAGAAAGAAACTTCTATAAAATATGTTTAACCTGCATATAAAACAAGTGAAAGAGTTGATTTTAAAGCCTGTAATATAAACCAATACAGTTTTGTGAAGTGTTCTGAGCACAGATCTGGTGTTTTTTACATGTGTTATTTGCTGTTATCTGCATGTTGGGTAAAAAAATACTTCTTTCTTGTCATGTGAAAGGTACATGTAGCTATAGAAAAGCTTCCAAATTTTTTATTTCAAATAGGATATCAAATGTGTATTGTATGTAGATCCTACTGTGATATACATTTAAGGAATGAAACTAAGCTTTGATTGGAATTACCAGTGCTGGTGTGATTCTTTTCAATGCAGAAGCAACTTTGAAATGTTCTGGTAAATCTTCCATAGGTGCTAGCATTGTATCTTGTTGACTAAGTTTTGGTTATTTGTAACATAATTATATATTCACATAATACAAACAAGTATTATGTTGATACAGAGCCAGAATAAGGAACTTTTAGCTGTTGTGGAAAAAGATTTTTGATTGGAGGAGAGATTGTAAGTAATGTTTATTTAGGTCATTTAGTTATTGTAGATATTGTAACACAAAATCTGTAAAGTGTATCACTTATAAACTTAAAGAATCTCTACTGTATGGAATTCACATGCTAACTGATGTTTGATCATGTAGTTTAAAAGTATGTATAGAAATTTTGTGTTGTGATTTTTGAAAAAGACAAATCTGTAATCAAATAGTTACCAGTACTATCAAACTGTCCGGGAATTATAGGCTTTAGCCGTTGCCATGATTTTCAAAAAGTATATCTTAAACTTGAATACTACATTGTAGAAGGTTTGTGAATATTCTAGTCCCATTATTAAAAAAAAAATTGTCTCTTAATGGTAAATGTTTCAGTTGTGAAGTATGGATCACATAATTTTCTTTTTTTGGGAATTCTGCCATTTATTTTCAAATTCACAGAGAAATTTATTACTTGAAAATATGTTGACATCTCAAATGCTTTTATATTGGCTTTAAAACCTTGAAAAAAAATCATTTGTTGTTTTAGCTCTCTTTAATGTTAATAACATCTCACTTAAGTTCTTTTATGAATATGTTAATGCAAACAGTTTTTTTAGTTTGGCCAACCTTAGGAACTCAAATACCTTTGGTTTTGTCACATGTCTCAGGAAGGTCTACATTAGACAAGAGTTTATGTATAACACTGCCAATGTTTTCAATATATCGTGATTAAAATTTTGTAAGCCCAGTAATTTTTCTTTTGTATTTCCATTTTCTGTACAAGTGTTTTTTACTGCTGGTTTTTGAAAGAAAGGCCAGTAAATGTTTTGTTGTTTAGAAAGTTGATTTAGTATTGATCACATGCTGTGCTTATTATGAAAGTAATATTGTTAGCTCCTACATATACATTTAGTGTGTGTCTAGTTTAACTGTATAATTGGGTATGTTTATGCCATTTTCATTGTGGTGGTAATGGTATTGTGTTTGGTATCATATTAATGTGATTTCCTGTGTAACAAGTTACCAATCAGACTTTTTTTTCACATTTTAAAGGATAAGAAAAATGAAGTTTTTTTGAAAGAAGCATTCCTGTTCTGCTGTTTTTCTTATTTCCATTTTTGAATAAAGTGTTTTTTTTATATTCCGTAGCTTTGTCTTTTTAAGGAACACGGGATTCATATTTTATAAAATGTTAATATATTTTCAGAAGTTGTAAGAAAGAATTTTTTTGTGGTGAATAACTTCATAAATAATACAATTTACATGAATTGTGCATACAAATAGAGGATTTATCACAATTAAAATTGCTTTTTTTTTTTTTGTCTTCCTTCTTGTATTTTAACTTAAATTGTACAAACTTGTATAATAGATTATTCATAAAGAAGAAATGAAGGTATTTTTCAGTTGTTCCAGAAATTACTTAATTTGCATTCACCGACATAATTGGTAGTCAGCACTCCACTACATAATATTTCTCTGTTTCCAGTTAAAATATGTTTCTTTTCCAGAACAGGGAAAAGCCATTGAGTTTCTGGTTCAGTTAGAAAGATTCAGTCTTTTTCCAAAGGTCAGGGAATTTTGCAAATTTTCTTTTATTCTGGCTCAATGTTTGAATATCAAATGTATTATATTATAGGGTACATATCAACTTTTATGTGAAGATAGATATTCTTAGAATATTTAAATGATTACTGTGATATTTGTGAAGTCTGTAGGATAATTCATCTGAGTAAATAAGAAGAAAGAGTAATCACCCAAAAATAATTTAAAGTGAGGGAAATTAGCATCCTTATGACGTGAAACCCTAATTATTATCTCTTAAACTAGTGATAGGACATACTTGCACAAACACCACGATAATAATTCCTATAGTTGTAACAGCTTGTATATCCTTCACTTAATATTTCAACAGCATGAACAGTATCAAGATTTGACTTTTTTAAAGATTCTCTAGATATTCTAATATTTCATGATTCATAATGAAAACAAATGCTTAAATTTTTAACAGTAAGTCATTTGATGAACTAACTTCATTTAGTTCAGACCTTAATTTATGAATTAACAGTATCTCTGATACACAACTTATCTCATCAGAACATTTGGGTAGAATCTTGAAAATAGATGAGAATATTACTATATTCCAGTTGATCTTTTACACTAGATTTGTTTTATCTTGACAAATTTGCATGTTCTTGTAGTTGTGTTTTTAGCCATCTAGTGACAGATTTGGTATACCTAGAGCTTCATCTAGGACATTTAAATTCATAAACAACATTTGATGTATGTTTGTAAGCACAATGAACCAATATCATAAGTATATATTTTTTATTAGTAGTGGAATAGAACTAACAAAATAAAAATATAATACTGTAATTATATTTTTGTGGACGATTTCATTGTTGCATATCAAGGTATCCACAGGCAAGCTGGTGATATTTTTGATGTTCAACAGTAAACTTGGTACTACAATGAGAGCTATTAAGATATTCTAAAAATTCTTTTACAATGAGAGCTATTAAGATATTCTAAAAATTGATTTACAAGTCCTTGAAGATAACAAAAGATTAATCCACATGCTTGGAATAATAAAAAGTTGTCAAGGTTCAGCCACTGTTCTTTATGAAAACTAAAAAAAGTTGGTAGGAGAAGGCACTAGTGCAATGAAAGAGATATCTCTTACAATTAAAAATGGGTAATTTTACCATTGCAAGAAGAACATTCTAGAAAGTCCTCCTTGGAACTTATAATCATAAACTTGCCAGTTTTAATGTTAAATTGTTTTTTCAGAGCCTTTTTTTTGGGGCTGTGTCCACCACGGGGAATTGAACCTTGGATTTTAACATTGTAAGTCTCTATACTTACCACTGTCCCATCAGAAGACTTCATGTTGAATATTCTGACACAAAATAAGCATACTGTGAAAGACAGTTTTATCTTTTCTAAAAAAATGAAAAATGTAAGGTTTCATAGAAATGTATATTGTGCAAGTTTTGATTAAGAATCTCAGGATTCCAAAATCCCCTTGAAAGAGATGTTACAACTAGCAATTGAATTAACATATCATAATGAATATAATGACACTGGATTACCCAAGTTTGTTTTCAAGTAACTGTTGAAATCTACTAGCAAGGGATCATATGTGACCAGAATGACAGTGTTGTGACAGGTTTGATAGTTTCTTTGGTTTTTGTAAATTATTTTTTAATTTAATAAATTTACTATTATCATTCAAAATATTTTCAACCTTTATTTTGCAATTGGATCTGTTAACTAAAACAACACTATTATCTTTATCTGGTTTGATTATAATAATACTTTCAATGGGCTTGGCATGGCCTGATGGTTAAGGTGCTTAACTGACTTTCTAAGGGTCATAAGTTTGAATCACCATCACCAAACATGCTCATCCTATATGGTTTGGGATGGCTGGGCCAGCCACCTGGCTGTAAAAATTCTTGGCTTACAAAATTACTGGTTGATCCCAAATTAATTGCGATTAAATTGATAATGGAAAAGTAAAAAAAAAAAAATTTTCATTTTTACTATAGTATATAGTATTTTATTATATAATATTAAAGAATGTTTTGTATTCATTTTAACTTTAAAAAGATGTACGTTAAACATATATTTTTCACAGGAATGTGAATTTTAAAACAACTGAAAATAGGTGCAAGAAGTGATGATAAGTTAATATTTTATTATAATAGACAGTCTTTAATGCTGTATAAAATATGTACCACCTCTTGAAAACATTTTTATTTTCTTAACCAAAATGACAATTGATAGACAAAAGGAACCTGTAGCCATTTTCTGCCTATATGAATTAACATATAAAAAACATCCTAAAAATAAGGAATTTTCAAGTAAAATCTTTACCCCAGTTCTGGTGTATATATTGAACTGGACATTATATTTTGTTTTTAGTAATTATTAATTTGTGGCTGTTATACTGAAGTATTTTGATTGGGATGTCATATGCCTTGTGGTGAGTTTCTCCTAAAAGATGTATAGGTACTTACTTACTTTGGCCTGGACCTGAACTCACAGTGTCAAAAGTATCAAGTTTTCTACAAGTTAACAGTACCTCTTCAGGCACTATTCAAATTAAACTGCCAAGAAATACACAGAATAATGGGACTTGGTGCTGGATTCCAAGAAAGAAGTGGCACTCCACTTGTAATTCTAAAAAGCAGCAGCACTGAGGTCTGGTGAATGAATACTAGTAGAATTTTACTTCTACATATGACAGTACCATAGACATGAAAACATATGTATTCCAAGACAAAAAAACAATAAAAAATCACAAAGAACTGATAGCTAGTCTGTTTCACTGTGTTGTCAAACTTCCTTAAAAATCTTATTTTGTATAGTATTTTTACAGTTGTTGATCTCCCTCCTCTCCAGTGTTTATTTGAGAAGACAGCAGCACACCCTGCTGGAAGTGACAAGCTAACCAAAGAAAAGAACAATTGTAATTATTAGGTAAAATTCAATAGAAGATTTTAAAAAAAAATGAAAGATTGAAATCTGCACAAAATAATATCAGTGTTAACCTGAACATGATTTATAAGTAGATTAGATATAAATGGAAAAACCAAAAACTACTGACTGCTCAGTAATTTTTTTTAACTTTGATTATTTGCTACCTAATTATAATTTTTGATAGTAACATTAGGCATCAGGCTGGTATCTTAGACCAACATTAACAGATTAACCCTGTATCCACTTTACTTCCATCCCAATATTAGCAGAGATCAACCTGATATCCACTCCATTGGAATCTGTCACAAGAACGTTATTATTGATTAAATTTCTATCATATGTACTATTCTTATCCCAATGTTAAAGAAGACAATCTGATATTGCCAATGTTATCAGAGATCAGTCTCAGTTGAATGTGACCTAATAGTTAATGTGCTGGATGGTGCATTGAAGGGTCCAAGGTTTAAAACATGGTGTTGCTGAACACTTACCACACTTTCATTTGTAGCCATGTCATAAAACTAACAGTTTATAATGTTATTTTGTGCAAGGAACCATATGAAGCCCTTTTAGTTATGTGTGCTGCTAGCTGGTGCTCTACATCTGATCAATTGTTCAGCATTAGGGATGAATATACCTGAACCTGAGGATTCTTTGACCTGTCTTTTTAAGTCCACATGCATAAGATGCTTTGGAGGCTGAAAAATTCAACAACCATCTATTATTTGTTAACATCAAATAACAAAAGAATAATAATTTTAATCACATTCATCCCTAGTGACCCAATATAATTTCCATTATCACTCACTAGCAACTAAGATATCAACCTGGTATCCACTGCACTAGATTCTCAAACCTATATTGGCAAAAAGCACCTTGCTATTCACTCTACTAGTTTCATTCTAATAGGCAGAGTTTATTGTGATATTTACTGTATACCGGAGTCTTATTCCAACATCAGGAGAGATCAACCTAGTATTCACTTTATAAAGTCTCAACCTGCTATTAACAGAGGTCAACTTGGTATTAATTGTACTAGAGATTAATCTAGTATGCAGGATACACACATTGTTCAGGTGGATTGACTTTATAGTACCAGTTTATGAACTTTAAACTTTTTTTTTTAATAATCTGGTTATGGTAATGACTTTGCAGTGACCAGTGTTGAAACTGGATGTTTTTTTTTTTCAGTCAATATAGAAAACATATAGTAACTCTTTTTTCGTGTATTTTTTTTTGTATTTTTAGTTTTTCATTTGGTATCTACATGTACCTGCAAGGCCTTGAGAGGTACTGTGATCATCATACATATTTTCTTCATTTCTATATTTTGAAGTAGATAATATTTTACCTTATCATATAACTGTAAATTATTATTTTGATTAATAAGATTTGTTTCCAAAACATTACACACCCAGCAATTATTAGCCTAAATTAAAATCTACCATTATAATGTTTGTAGCATCAAAATTTGAAATAAATAAATATGTATTAAAAAAAAAAACATAGGGAAATTCATCTTTGAAACATGAAGACAAATCCGTACTTTTCCCGTTGAATTCTGTTGTGTATTTTTTCTTAATTTAATAAACTAAAAACGGTAAATATACTTTCGAACAGTTGACCAAAGCAACATATGTATAAAATGTATGAGCTGGTTCTGAAATAAGACAAAACTATTTACTGTAAATAGTGTGATCTGTGACTATAATATATATAAATATATTCCATTCTCAAATTATTCGGAAGCTGATTGGATTATGTTTCGAAAAGTGAATGTTAGTTTTGATTTTGACCAACAGGTGACAGGATTGAAAATGGTATAATAATCTGATGCATGACTGTGCTGATGATAGGGGGTTATAATAGCACTGAAGGCCCTTGTTATTGAGCGAAAGGTTTCGTCATCTCTGGATATAGTGTGATTGACATTTTATTATTTACTCTTCTTTATTTTCAATTAAAAATTCTAATTGATAATTGTTTTTTTTCCATTGTGGTAGTTAAATTAAGAAAATAATTTTAGAATGTATGATTTACAAGAATTAATATTTTAATTATTATTAAATTATTCCAGGGTTTGATGTACTTAAGCTCGAACGAACAATAACATCAGTTATCACCAGAAGAATGAGGATCTAGATCCTGGAAATTCGTTACGAAGGTTGATAGTTTGTGGGTAACAATTTCATCGCTAAAAAGTCCCTGAAAGATAAAAGGCTAAAGAAAATTTAAATATTAAATATTTTCTTTGTGAGTCAATTAAGATGTAAATATATGTATGTATGTTACATCATAGCTCGTCGAAACTTTTGTGAAAAAAAAAAACGTTTTGTATCTAATGACGTTCACCGATGTCCTAGAAGTCCAAGAATAACAAGTCAGTCCTTTTCACTGTGTTGTCAAACTTCATTAGAAATCCTATTTCGTATACAATTTTTTACAATTATTGATCTCCCCAACGACACATCCTGCCGGAAGTTATTCATATGAGAATTTTTTTTGTTTTTAAGAGTCATAACTTAAGATGTTGCATTTCCTGGGTGTTCAAGTAGTCTGTAGTTACTGCTTTTACACAGGCCTGTCTCTTGGCGCAATAAAGAATTAAATCATGGCGCATGATAAACTACGTGTAAAATCGGAAACCAATGCTTTGGTATCTATGTGTCAAATATAACGAGATAACAGGGAAATTATTTAACAAATTTATATAAAGAAAAAAAAACATTTTGTTCAAATGACTAGAACAGACATTCCCAACCTGGGATACATGTACCCCCAGGGGTACATAGGAGTCTGACAGTATAACACTTTACATGGTGTTTTAATCTACAGTCAGACAAAGAGAGCAAAGTTTGAGTTCAATTTATCGATGTTATCAATACTATAAGATCCTTATGCAGTCCACACATTTAGATTTCATAATAAAATAATATCAAAATCAATATAATTTTATCAATTTTGATCCTAAATTTTTAGGGGTACATGGGAACGTGTCAGAATGCCCAAGGCCAAGGAGTACAGAGGAATAAAAAGGTTGGGAATTCCTTCTTTAGAAGAACAACTACAATAAATAAAAGTTTATATGCTTATACTGTATTCGGTATTACTGCTTATACTATATTGAATAGTTATGAATATCTCGCAGTGATAACGTGTCAGTATTACTGCTAGAAATATACAGTAAGGTTGTATATTTCGTAATTTAATATCATGGAGTAACTATACTAGGGAGAAGGTTGGATGATGTTATTCGATAGAAATCAAGGGTGGTTTAATATCTGATTTCTATTTTTATGTTTTTTTAGGGATAACTATCATACCCACAACCGGCTTTAGACGGTGAGTGATAGTGTGATCTGGGACGTAGTGGGTTCTAGCACCCAGATCCTAATCCTCCCCCTTTTTTTTTGCTGGCTAGTTCTGCATCTGTTGTTTTTATTATGTCTGATAGGCAGAATATCCCCAATGCTTTTGGGAGCTATAACCGCAGAAATTTTCACTTTAAAATGATACCTTTTGTACAAACAGTATAATTTTACATTGTTATATTAGAACTTTGTTGGCGCCTACATCTACATGTACAATAAATAAATTGTTGGTTATATTATACATATATATATGTATCATCCAAGTCTTTTAACGTGACTCTGAGACTCCCTTAATCAAAAAAAAGGTATAGATATTTATCAGTGTGTTCTTCCCTACTCATTTTTTAATTAAGGATACTATAATTTATGAATACGGTTTTTTAATTTAGTCTTCTGGTAACTTAAGCAGATATTAAATATTCATTAGGCTTGTAGTGATGTAGTTTCTGGTTTCGTGGCGATTAAAGATAATGTTTGTTGGTCTGGTGATTAAGGCGCTCGACTTGTAATTTGGGGGTCACGGGTTCAAATCTCGACCGTGGTGGCGTAGTAGTGTGACCATCAGTCACACTTTTCGATGGTTTGTTTATTTGTTATAAATTTCGCGCAAAGCTACACAATGGCTATCTGAGCTAGTCTTCCCTAATTTAGCAGTGTAAGACTATAGGGAAGGCAGTTAGTCATCACCACCCACCGCCATTTCTTGGGCTACTCTTTTACCAACGAATAGTAAAATTGACCGTCATATTATAACGCTCCCACGGCTGAAAGGGCGAGCATGTTTGGTGTGACGGGATTCGAACCCGCAGATTGCGAGTCGAGCGCCGTAACCACCTGTCCATGTCGGGACCTTTTTCGATGGTAAAAAGTAGCCAAAGAGTGGACGGCGGGTAGTGTTGACTAACTGCCTTTTCTCTAGCCCTTGAGTAGCTTTGCGCGAAATTCACTAAACAAACAATAAATATTTGTTAAGCCTATTATTTATGTTTTTGAGTTTCGCTCCTTCATGCACAGTAACGGGAATTTATATTTAACATGCATATTTTGATTTTTTTATATATGTTATTTGGGTTTTATGAATATTGTATGTTTTACAGTTTTACATACTTTTACTCCGAAGTAACGAAAATATTTTTGTATAATTATCTTAATACTTACAGAGAGCAAATGTGATTAAAAACAAAGCTAAAACTACACGAAAATATTTTTTCAAACTGTAGTTAAATATGGTAAAACTTATCTTGTATTTGTTTGTTCTACAGTATTTCAGTAAGGTGAGTTGAATAAAATACTTTTTGTGTGAGAAGATATTCCAATCTTTCATAATTTTTTAATTAGAATAATCATTCAACATGATGATTTATATAATATATTTTACATGTAATTATTATGCAGTTTTAATTTTGCTCTCAGCAAACCACAAAAGTTACACTATAGTCTATAGTGATATTAGAACACAAGGCATTTTCTGGACGATGTCAAAAAACACGATCTGGGAGTGAGGAAAATTATTAATATCCACTTCTGGATAAAGCAAGCACGTGTGAAAGCTTCACAAATTAACATATTCCAGGTCCGAGATTATATCCAGCTGTATACAATTTAAATACATGCATGTATTAATTTGTAGTCACTATTCATACGAGAGTTAGTGTAATCCGAGCTATTTTAGTACATGTTGCTTCGTAGTTGAACTGTATCATCACAAAGAAACATCACATGTGCTTTTCTGTTTAATAGAAAAGAAATGAACATTTTCAGAATATTTGTTAACACTTTTGAATAATTGAATTGATTTAGTTTATAAATTAAATAATTATGTATATATATATATGTGTGTGTGTGTGTGTGAATCAAAACTAAAGTCAAGCCCAAACGGGTTATAATGATTTATATTTTTCGTGCATCAGGTTTTTCACTTATGCATACCAGAAACGTGTTGGACAGGTTTTTTTAACTGTTTTTTTTCTTGTTTTTCTTTTTTT